CACACACACACACACACACACACACACACACACACACACACACACACACACACACATGCTCATGCAGGAGAGAGTGAGAGAGGTCAGAGGAGAGGAAGCGCCGCAAGAAATGAAGTGGCTTTTCCCCACTGCCGCTTTGTGCGGGTGTGTGCTCTGTATCCGCTGTAGAGAAACAGATGACTGTGACAGACGGCTATTGGACGTCAACCGATTCACCATAAAGTCGACGGATTCATTTAACTCAAAGATAACGACTCATCACATTGCCCAAAGTTAGCGATACCCTTGCTCATCTAGGTGTGACACAGACAGAGAAGAAAGGAAAAGTCGGTACGATACGTCGAAATGAACCTGCGGCCTTCTCCAGGGGGCAATCCGTCCGCACATGGCATTGATTGATTGGTTCATTGATGGTCGGATTGATTGATTGGTTCATTGGTTGATTGATTGCTTGATTGATTGCTTGATTCATTGATCCGGTATCAGACGTCCACACTCCTTTGAATACCCAGAATGAGATGGAAGCCAGATTGACTTACTGATTGATCGGTTGGTTGATTGATTGGTTGGTTGATTGATTGGTTGATTGATTGGTTGATTGATTGGTTGATTGATTGATCGATTGATTGGTTGATCGGTTGATTGATTGATTGGTTGATTGTCCGCTTGACTGATTGGTTGATTGGCTTGATTATGAGCTCATCAGGCAATTAGCCAAAGGATTGATTGCATGCAGCACATTACAATCGAAGCAATAAAATCGACCGCATCGATCAATCAAAATCATCCATCAGTTAAAACTCGCTGCGATCACTTCTCATCGACATGACAAGATCAACCGCTTACTTGGCTTTGCTCAACATTCGCTTTATCTGGTTAATGCGATTAGAATTGTTGACATAGTAGATGTACATACTAATTAGTAAATCGCTAAGAAACTTGATTGATTGGCTTGATTCATCTCGCTGACTGATTCATTAAATGGACCTCATTGACTGATCGATCTGATTGACTGACGATCTAGTTGATTGATTGATTGATCTGATTGATCGCTTCGTTCCACAACACATACCTTCGTTCCCCGAATACAACGCACCGTCATTATAGCGCTCTCTCTCTCTCTCTCTCTCTCTCTCTCTCTCTCTCTCTCTCTCTCTCTCTCTCTCTCTCTCTCTCTCTCTCTCTCTCTCTCTCTCTCT